GAGAGGGGTAGTGAGGGGAAGAGAGGGGTAGTGAGGGGAGGGGTAGTGAGGGGAGGGGTAGTGGTGGGAGGGGAGGGGTAGTGAGGGAAGGGGAGGGGAGGGTACACTGCCATAAATGATATCATTGGACAATTGGGGAAACAATTATATATTTTAAGGTTTTATTCTATGTGTATGAATGTTTTACCTGCATATGCACAACATTTCCATGGCAGCAGAAGAAAAGCTGGACTACAAATCCTGTGGGCTGCCATGCAGGCACTGCGAATTCAACTCACATCCTCTGCAAGAACAGCCCAGGCTTGGAACCACTGAGCCATCTTCTCATCCCCAAAACAATATTTTTTTTCAGTTTTTTTCTAAATTTATTTATTTTTATTTTATGTGCATTAGTGTTTTGCCATGGGTGTCTGGTCCCCTGGAACTGGAGTTACAGACAGTTGTGAGCTGCCATGTGGGTGCTGGGAATTGAACCCGGGTCCTCTGGTAGAGCTGTCATTACTCTTAACTACTGAGCCACCTCTCCAGCTCCCCAAAACAATATTTTTAACTTAACAAAAAGTGGGAACAACTCAAATGTCTAACAACTGATAAGAAAGTAAAATAAGAAAAGGTGTCTCTATGCAATGAAATACTATATAACACAAAAGAATGAACATAAACACTGAAAACATACTAAGGCAAAGAATCCACATATTGTATAACTTCATTAATGTCCAAAGGCAAATCATGGAGGCAGGAAACAGATTACTGTTCCGGTACGGAGAAAGCATGGTGTAAGAGTAGAATGACTGCTAGTAAGTATAGGCCACCTGACCGGCTGATTCCCGACTTCCTCCCTCCCTCCCTCCCTTCCTCCCTCCTTCCCTCCTTTCCTTTCCATTTTTGATACAGGATCCCAACATTCACACACACCCATACTAGACTGGATAAAGGATTTCTTTTGCGGGCGATGCAGATGTCCTAAAAGTGGCCCAGAGGCTGCTGCAGAGCTCTGTAGGAGTTATCAGTAAACTGCCCACTGCCCGTGGCTTGTACGATGTGTGAATTATATCTTGACAAGTGTCATAAAAGACAATCTGGAGTAGGGACATGGTTCAGAGGCAGGGCATTGGCCTAGCTCATGTGAGACTTTGGGATTAAGATAGCAATAAGCTTTCTTACCTTGTGTTTGAACGGCAGACACCGCTGAAGTTTTACTCTTAAGCACAGTCCTGTGATGGGGAAAAAATTTCCATTATCTCTTTATTTCTCTTTCTGTCTCTCTCTCTCCTCTTTTTGTTTTTTCAAGACAGGGTTTCTCTGTGCAGCCCTGGCTGTCCTGGAACTCACTCTGTAAAACAGACTGGTCTTGAACTCAGAGATCCTCCTGTCTCTGCCTCCCCAGTGTTGGGCTTCAAGGTGTACGCTACCACCACCTGGCCTCTTTATCTCTTCTTATGGGTTCTAGAAAAAGCACAAAGCTCAGACTGCGTCTGCACACTGTATGACAGCTCAGACTGCGTCCACATACTGCGTGACAGCTCAGACTGCATCCACATACTGCGTGACAGCTCAGACTGCATCCACATACTGCGTGACAGCTCAGACTGCATCTACACACTGTATGACAGCTGAAAACAGTTCTGCTCATGATAGTGTGGGTCTCCCATGTGCCTGGTACCATACCAGGAAATTGAAAATAAGAGTTTCATGTTTCCCTCAGCAAAATAAGAGAGCAGGGTCCAGTCTAGACATGGTGAACCAAGGTCATAGTGTAATCTGCCCAAGAGAGCTGGAGGCAGTAACATGGCAGAGCTGGAACTGACCAGAAGAAAGGAACACCACACAACCCAGACCTTTTCTGCTGTACTGTCACTCAAGGAAAATAATATTAAGTCATTAGACTTTACTAAATGCCACTGGGAGGCCAAGATAAGCAAAAATATAAAACCAAGTATATTTAAGAGCATTTAACAGCTACTGATGGCTTAGCAAGTAAAGCAATTGCCAGTGAGGTAGAGACTTGAGTCCAGTCCCCAGAACCCTCAAAGGCAAATGGAGATCTGACTCTTGCAAGCTGAACCCTGACTTCTACACAGGAGTCACGGCACAGGTATGCCCACACATACACACACCTAAATAATCAGTAAATTACAGGCTCGAGAGTTGGCCCAGTGGTTGAGGGCACTTGCTGCTCTAACAGAGGACTTATGTTGGGGTCCCAGCACCTACATGATGGCTCACAACCATCTGTAACTCCGGTTCCAGGAGATCAGAAGTCCTCTTTCTGGTCTCCTCAGGCACCAGGTGTGCCCATGTACTTATACATATATACAGGTTAAAGCTGAGCCGTGGTGGCACACGCCCTTAATCCCAGCACTTGGGTGGCAGAGGCAGGCGGATCTCTGTGAGTTTGAGACCAACCTGATCTACAAGAGCTAGTTCCAGGACAGGCTCCAAAGCTACAGAGAAACCCTGTCTTGAAAAACCAATATGCTAAATATATATTTCTATATGTTATATTATGTATATATATATATATATATATAGGCTAAACACTCTCATACATATAAAATAAAATTTAAGTTTCTAAAATACATAATAATTGTTAATTGGCTGGTAGGTAGTGGTGAAAACTTTTAATCCCAGGAGAAACTCTGAGTTCAAGGTTGCCGGAAGCAAAGACCTGTATTTTGAGATCTGCATTTTGGTTACAGCCATCTTAAGCTGACAAGTTAAGAAAAATATTTACCTCTATCCTCTCTGCAGGGTCTAGGAAATCAACCTGGCATCTTATCTCCTAGCAGAGACCTGCAGGCACCAGGCTCCTGAATCAGTTAGTATTTCCTTGGTTAGTCAACAATCACAAACCCTCAGTATTTACTTATCAGCTAGGGATGTCTCCGGACCTGAATTCCAGCAGACAGGAGTTTCCTGATACCCTTCCCTTCCCCCTGACATCTTTCCCTTCCCCCCTTTGTCCGTTTGCTATATAACAGCCTCTGAGAAAAAATAAACGGGACGGCTTGATCAGAAATCCTGTCTTGCCGTCTTTTCTCGTGTCTCTTGCCCCTTCATTCCTGTCCTCTAGGTTTATTAGGATCACAGTTCGCATCCCGCTGGCCGGGATACAAGGTAAGCCTGGTCTACAGAGTGAGTTCTAAGACAGCCATGGCTATACAGAGAAACCCTACTTTGAAAAACCAATATATATTTAATAGATATATTACATTTTAAAAAAAGAATTCATACATGCTGGATATAGTTGATGCACATTTTTAATCCCAGCTCCTGGAAAGCAGAGGCAGGAAGATCCCTGAGTTTGAGGCCAGCCTGGTCTATAGCACATAGCAAGTTCCAGGACAGCCAGGGCTTCAGGGAGACCCTGTCACCAAAAAAAAAAAAAAAAAAAAAAAAAAAAAAAAGAGAGAGAAAGAGAGAGAGAAAGGAAGGAAAGGAAAGGAAGAAGGGAGGGAGGGAGGGAGGGAGGGAAGGAAGGAAGGAAGGAAGGAAGGAAGGAAGGAAGGAAGGAAGGAAGGAAGGAAGGAAGGAAATATAATTCACATGAGATGGCTCAGAGATTAAAAGCACTAGAGGATCTTACAGAGGACCTAGATTAGATTCCCAGCACCCACAAGGCAGCTCACAACTGTCTATGACTCCAGTCCAGGGGATCTAATACCTTCTTCTGGTCTCTGTGGGCACTGCATACACAGACATATATACAGATAAAACACCCATACACATAAAAATAAATATTAAAAAAAATTCATGTACACACACACCCTTACCTCCATGTACATGTACACAAACACACACACACACTTACCAATAAGAGTTGCTAAAGAGCAATGAGGTGCTGTTGGTGTGAACTTGATAATAACCAAACAGTCTTCTTCATTTATTTCCTGAACCTCCACACAACTCTCGGTCACCACTTCCAGTTCTTCTAAAGTATTGGGCTTTTCTGGGTCCCGGATAGTTCGAATCAAATCTAGGGGCATCAGAGAGACAAGATATTAAATTAAAATATGAGTATCCTAAGTGAGGACAATTCTTCTCACCTCAAAGACCAATTTTCTATGCATGTTTTACCTCTATAAAAGCCGGTGAGTATGTCATGCAGTGCCCACAGAAGCCAGAAGAGGGCCTCAGCCCATGGAATGGGTGCTGGGAACAGAACCAGGTCCTCCACAAGAGCAGCCCTGTTCTGAACTGCTGAGCCATCATCTTTCCAGCCCCACCACCCCACCCTAACTTTCTTTTAAACAAACGGTTGCGCAACTCCCAATTTTCCGACAGGAATTTCCACTACTTTTGAGAAAACTATTTTCTTGGATCATTATTAGTCCATATCCAGTTTCTTAATTCAAAACCATAGGGAATACGAAAGGGGAAAATGTCAAGGAAGCACAGAGGGACTCTGGCTGAAGAGATGGTGGGATCAAGTCTTTCAGTATTGCACACTTAAACTGAAAGGCCAGAACCACCACCAGGCATTTCCTTAGTTTGTAACTTGCTGTAAGGAAAAAGAAAAGGGTGGGGACGCTCACCAGGGTCTTTCACAACTAGCCACAGGCAAAAGGGATTCCTCCAGGGACTCAGAACAAGGAAGTGGAAAGGACAGTGCGGCACCCTCAGCGCTAATTCACTCACACCAGCTGCAAGGCCCAGAAGCAAGGAGCAGAGCTAAAGACAGTCCCTGCAGAGCTAGGCCAGAAATCAGCACACAGCACAGGACAACAGGGACAGAGATGGGACATGCCACGACGTCATTTCAGAGGAACCGATGTGTGGAGACTTGTTACAGCTGGAAGAAGAGGAGATTACTCAGATTTTAAGTTAAAGTATTTGGGAGAATGTTAAGGTAAAAAAAAAAAAATGGTCATCAGGGGTTAGCTGGGGAAAATATAGCGTTTGCAGCCGAGCCTGACTCCCTGAATTCGAGCTCTCAGACCCGCATGGGGGAAAGACTGACAGTAAACTCGTTCAATAATTTCATATGCAGTGATTTTGGAGGTGCTTCAGGCACAGGTCAATGAAATAAATGTTCCAGCAAAGACTGTAGTATAGTGCTAAGTGCACACCAAGGCTAGAGCGGTTGTTGAACAGAATCCATCAAGAATGAGAAGCATTTTGGCTGAATATTGCACTTATCAGGAACGAAACAAAAAACTGTTGTCTGGGCCCACCCCCCTCGGCATTCTGATTGAACTGGCTTAAAGCATGGCCTGAACAGCTAGAGTTTTTTAAATTTCTCAGATTATTTTCTTAAAATTTTGCGTTGTTGCTTTTATGAATGTTTTTCCCACAGGTATAGGTGTGCATGGGAGGAGAATGCCTGGTGCTCGCAGGCACCTGAGGAAGGCTTTGGATGCCCTGGACCAGGAAGTTAGGACAGTTATGAGCCACCATACTGGTCCTCTGCAAAAGCAACAAGTGCTCTTAACCACTGAGCCATCTCTCCAGCCCTCCCCAGGCTTTCTTATGTGCAGCCTAGATTGGTATAAAGGGAAAAAAACTCACAGACAGAGCTTTGAAAAGGCGGCTGTGGCACATGCCTATAATCCTGGCACTGTTGAGGCTGAAGTCAGACGACCTTAAATTCTAGGACCTCCCAGGCTACACGAGACCCTGTCTCAAAAAGAAAAGGAACCAAATGGAAAAGTAAAGAACAGAGAGAGGAAGAGAGAAGTGTTTAACATCAAATGCTACAGAAAAAGGTAAGGTGGGAGAATTCGAATTCAAGGCCATCCTGGGCTACAGTGACACTTTCAGAAAGAAAAAAGAACCAGAATAAAAGAAAAGGCAAAAAAAAAAAAAAAATCAGAGAAGACAGAGTTGTCAACATTAAACACTATGGGAAAACTTGGGCTAAAGCAGTCTTTGATTTGTTATTCAACAAGTCACTAGTAAGAAAGCAGTTTGGTAGAAAAGTAGGGTACAAAGGCCAACAGAACTGAAAATGCCTTCCTAAGGCCTTGGCGGAAGGGCAGGGCAGCTTTACATGGAGGCTAGAATCCTGACAAATTTGAGTAAGTTTTTTAGCTCAAAGGGAAGGATGGGAAAAAAAGGAGATGGACACTATTCTGGGAGACTGAGAAAAGAAAGGAGCAGGGAAGGGGAGCAGAGAGGAGGAAGAAGACTAGACCCTGCACTGACCAGGGCCAGGACAAGAGCTCCATTTGACCTTGAGGCTACAGAAAATTAAAGAGAAGACTGACAAAGACAAAGTGAGGGCCCAGGAGGGAAGCAGGATTTTAGTTGAGATGGGCTTGATGCTCTCAGGAGCCTGGGTCTGTCTTATTACACACAATGCCCAGTGACCACTTGAGCAGCAGGAAAATCTGTCAGTTCAACTTCCCTTCCCCCAGGCTACCTTCTGGCCTTACCAATAAGATAGAAAATGGATTTGAAAAGGCAGGAAAGAGGATAAAATTTCCCTGCAGCGAGCAAGTTATTGTGGGATTTGGGAAGGTAGAGCTTTCCTTCGCCTATCCTAGGTTTCTCCTTGCAAGCCTGATTTGTAAAAAGCTGTATTCTGTTCTTTGAACACTACTAAATCCCGAAGTTAGACCTTAACCTCTTACTCAACACCTCCATCTAGCTTTCTAGTGATCTGAGAACTCTGATTTCTTTATAAAGGTGTCAAGCTTGTTCCCCCACTCCTCTCCCATTCTCCTCCATCCCCACTAACAGTTTTGCTGCTCGGTGCCGACATGAAGGCCTGCTCTCGCAGAGGACCTAATTCAGGTCTCAGCACCCACATCTGACAGTGCAGAACCTCCTGTAACTTCAGGGAGAGTCAACACTTCTGGCCTTCGTGGACACGAACACATGGAAATTTTTAAAAATTAATATTTAAATCAGCCAGGGTAGTGGTGGCATACACCTTTAATCGCAGCACTTGGGAGGCGGAGGCAGGCAGGTCTCAGTGAGTTCGAGGTCAGCCTGGTCTACAAAGAGTTCCAGGACAGCCAGAGCTGTTACACAAAGAAACCCTGTTTCGAACAAAATAAATAATAATAATAATATTTAAGGAGAAAATTCCTCATTTAAATTTAAAAGTTTCAGTGGGGGAGGGTGTTGCTGAGATGGCTCATCAGGTAAAGGTGCCTGTCACCAAATAAGCCTAACCTCCCGGGTTCCACTCCCAGGACCCACTTGGTGCAAGTAAAAAAACAAACAAACAAACAAAAAAAAAAAACTGACTCCAGCAAGTTGTCCTCTGACCTCTGAATTTGCACTGTGACTTATGTGCATATGTGCAAACATGCACATAGTAAATAATCGTAACAAAAGTAACTGAAAACTTCAGTATTCAATTCCAATCTAGGATCTAAAGCAGCACCTAATCACACCTCCACCTGCAAATTCCGGTACCTCCTCCTGAACTGCTAATTCCCTGTGTCTTCTCACCTCCACATTGTTCTCTAGCTCCTTCAAGCGTATACAGCCTCTGACATATCCAGGTCCAGATTGCTCCTCAAGGCCCAACTCAAGTAAGTCTCTACCTTTCCAGATGTTTCTAGTAGTTTACTCTCTCTCTTTCCCGATGTCCGTACCTACTTAAGCGCATGACCTTCTACCGCATACTCTATTTTTGCCCATGTGGGTTTCATTCACTATAAACTCAAGGACTGGAATCATCTCTCTTGCAGAGTTGCAGTCTCCAGATGCTATAGATAGAGGGAAGGTAGGAGAGGAATGTTTTGTGAAGATAGCACACTCATAATCATCTTCAGCCTGGGGTTGTCAGCCTCGCCTCTACAACAAGAAGTAAACCTGATTAGCTCCGGGGCTCTTTCCACCCTTGGAATCATTCTTCCTGCCAAGAATCGTATTTGTAGGATCAAATCTCTTAGAGTTACTTCTAGCCTAGGGGTGGAGCACACCTAGCTTGCATGAGACCCTGGATTTTCTAGATCCAGAAAAAGAATATATATAAGATCTTGACTGTGCAAGAGAATTGTAAATTTGAAGCCTCACTGTGAGGTGTCTATTTCAACCTCTTCACTTCCTACTGACTGTCACAGAAGGGAGTGGTTGTGACCTTGGGCCAGTCCCCAACTCAGCCTGTACCCAACAGTGACCTCAGCTCTGGCGGGAGGAGCGCGTGTCCAGTAACTAAAGAAAGACTCTCCAGTCGTGCAATCAGGCCAGCTTTGCTCCCTGACCACTGAAAACTCATTCTGCCCACACGTCTTGACATGGTGCCTAGAGCAGTGGGCAGAGAAGGGGAATGAAGCGTTTATGAGTTCCAGACTCAATTTCGCATCAGGTTTAAGGATAGCCCGGGTCCTAGAATGGCCGAAATTCTGAGTGACTTGGGACCCGGAAGAACACGCTTCCTTCTAGGTCTGGCAAAAGCCCAAGTGTCCACTACAGCTCAAAGGTGAGCCCCTCCTCCACCCTCTCTCCTCTGCCGCCTCTCCAAACAACACCAAATGCTGCTCTGGGTAAAGTTAATTACCATAAACCTCTAGCGCTTTCTCTTCCATGGTCCGGGGCTGCCGGGCAGCTCCCTGCTCAGAAAAGCCTGAGAGCCATAGGACCCTGCTCAGCGTCCAGGAGAGCAGCCCGGACACTCGCTCCATCCTCACGTTCCGCCATCCCTGGCGACTGTCCCAACCGAGCCACCGTCTTTCCGCAGTCGGCCTCAGGAGCTATCAACTTCCTGGTCTTCAAATTAACCAAGACACATATAAAGGTTTAGGAGAGCAGAGAATAGGCGGGACTCAAAAATAGTAACGCGAAGGACCTCGGGAAATAAACGGCAAAGACTACATGTCCCAGCATGCTTTGCTCGGTTTCGATGCCCGTTAGGAGCGTTGCATGCTGGGATGTCTGGGTTAGTTGAGTGGCGGCAAACTGCATTCTGTGACTTGTAGTCTCATCCAGAGGATCATGTACCGGACTGTTACGAGTCACCAAGTGCCCCACTCAGCTCCTAGGTATAACTAAAGATGAATCGTGAGGAGGTAGGGAAAAGGAGATCAAGGTTACTACTGTTGGATGAAGTTCTCGAACGGAGACTCTTCACAGCTATTTCTCGGAGGAAGCTCCTTTCTGTCAAATCTTACTTCCTGATCAGGACGGAAATGGATTTCCTTTGCTACGGAAAGGAATATTGGGGGAGACCAAGCGTTGATAGTTAGGCGTGACGAAGGGCCAGGGAAAACTTGGTTTTCTTGTCTCCTAGAGATTTAGTCCAGCTCAACTTCCCTCCAAGGGGAATATTTCTACCAACCACCTTACAGCGAGATACTTTCTCAGTGTTCACTGTGCGTAGTGATGATAATGGAGGTCATCGTTCTGAAAAGGCATCCCTTCAACTTTGTGTTCGTGGCTGTGATGGGTGCCGGTTACGTGGTTGATTGTGTTTCCAGCCTCAAATATTAGACACTTAATTTGCAGGAATAAAGGTTACAAGCTAAGGCACTCTGCCAACCCTCAAGCAGCTTACCGTCCGTGAAGGAATCCACCGCTGACGTGGAGTTTGCAGTTAAAGACAACCAACTTTGCCAGGCATGGTGGCTTTGCGCTTGTAATTCCAGCACTTGGGAGGCTGAGTTACGAGCGTTGCCATGAGTTTGTGGCCAACTTTGGTTACAGTATTTCAGGCCTGTCGAAGTGAGACCTTGTTTCAACCAGAAGAGCAAGTCACCTTTATTGATGGTACTTGACAAGTTTCGTCTCTTTGAAAAGAAAGAATCATCGTGCAGAATTAATCCATGATAACATACTACATTGTCCTTAAACTCTACTTGGCTTCGGCGCACCAGACGATGGTTAGATCCCATGAAATTCTGGTTCAGTCCCAACTATTGTCCTTGTCATCTCTTCTACTTCTGACATGTCTTCCGTTTCACTTCATAGTCATTGAAGAGATAACCCCAAACCTAACGAGTTTAATACATTAAGCTCTCCCCTTTGTTTGAAGCCTGACTTCTTCCAAGAGAATCAATAACCTCTTTTATTGTTGCACACTGTAACACTAAGTGTGTTTAAATTGTTGATTTACAAGACTGCCTCCCTCATTAAAGTGTAAACACTTAGTGAGCCAGGAGCTTTTGTATTTGTGTTTGAAACGCACAGTAAGGTGCCAAGCTCACAGTGAATGCTCAGTATATATTGAATGAATTAATGTCCAAAAAATAGCAAAACTTCCCGCAGTCTTTTCAGACCTCAATTAAAAATATTGAATTTCTGTGAGAGCGCTGTGCTCGGCATGAGCAGGTGGCATGCAGAGACTTTCAAACGTTTTTTCGTCACAGACTTTTTTTTATTACAACAAAACCTTAGAAGCGTGACAGATAAAGCTACGCAGGGCACAAAGGCCCTGAGGAACCCGGCAGCCTCTAGCTCCTCCTCTGTTGCTTTGGCCCGCCCGAGTGCGGCGTTGCAGCTCGGGGCTCGGATTGGCTGGGCAACAGCCCAGGCCCCGCCCCAAGTGCCTGCCCCCCGAAGCCCCGCCCCTCTGGTCCCTTGGGGTCCGTAACGGCCCTCGCGCACCTCTCACAGCTGGAGCGCTTTGCTCGCGGCACTGTCTATAAAGTTGTTGTTGCTGCTTCCGCCGCCGGTGGAGGAAGATGGCGTCGGGAGGTGGTGGCTGTAGCGCTTCGGAGCGACTCCCTCCGCCCTTCCCTGGCATGGATCCGGAGTCCGAAGGGGCTGCCGGGGGGTCAGAACCCGAGGCTGGGGACAGCGACACCGAGGGGGAGGATATTTTCACTGGCGCTGCAGCAGCTGTGAGTTCCCACCCTTGGGGCACCAAACAGGAAAGCTCCCCTCAAAAGAGAAGCAAAGCTCATCAAGGGTTCGAGGGCTCTGAGGATGGTGGGCCTGGTGGGCAGTCCTCGTCCGGCTCAGCGGTCAGGACTCCAGGGCCCTAAAAGAGAAACGGACCCTAGAGCCGGGCTGTCCATGCAGGGGCGGGAAGAGAGGATGAGGGGTGTGGTGACTTCCCGGCGGATCCTTAATAGCCAAGAGCAACCTAGGCCGTCCCCTGGCCCCGTGATGTGGTTACTTCATGGATCCACCTGGCAGCTCTGCTGGTTTTGCCCTGGGCAGACTGACTTAATATGACAGACAAGAGAATGGGGGTGCAGACCATTAGTTCCCCGGCCTTACTGCTCCGAACATGGAAACCTGATGTAGGGTAGTCTAGGATCATGACCCGCCCACTGATCTTCTCGTACTCAGCACTTCCTGGTCATTACCAAAAGCCCATTCTGGATCCTCGTTTAGGAAAGTTAGGTTGTGACTCCTTTGATCTCTCGAAGAATCGGGCCAAACGCCGGTTGAGACTGCCAGATAAATTTCTCTGCGCATACCAGAAATCTTTGTTTCTGGCAAAAAAAGGATTCGTTAAAGTGCTTTGAAACAGATCTGTGCATTTAAAGGGGGAGAACGTCTCCCATCATAAATATCCCGGTCTCAAATGGGAGCTAGCTGCTGGCAAAACAAACAAAACTCCCTAACCTTTCTATGTGGAATGTCATGAGTTAACAGTATTGGGAGAGATGTTTTGGGCTATTTTATGAGAACACTGACTCATACCACTTGGTACAGTTAGTTCCAGCTTATAATCGTCTTCAGTACTGAGTCTATGCATTTATCTTTCTGTTTTGGTTTTTGTTTCTCAGTATCTGAGTTAAACAACTTTAAATTCTGTATACAGCCTGTATCTGAAAACTTGGAGGTGCTCCTTGTGTCAGAAAAAGTTTAGATTTTGGAGGCATTTCTTCCATGACCATAGCTAGAATTTTACTGTGTTGAGAAATTGAGGGCCTTAATCCCGACTCATAAAGTGCTTTCTAGTGCTAACATAACAGCAAACTGTCTAATGATGCCTGATACTCTGAGGAAGAATAACTTGCTGCTAATGTAGTCTTTGTTTCTGTTTTCAGTATCTTTACATAGTTAATCTCTCATAAATCTTGGAGAACAACTACTGGGCTGAAACTGAAACAGGCGCTAAGCAGCTATTTTCTAGAGTTTTCTAGGGCTCTCAAGTGAAGTTCAGGAGACTGTGGTTTCAATGAGTTCATCCAGGTAGTTGATAGAGGCGTAATACCTCTTTTTCTTAAGACTAGAAATCTCTTGCCTCTCCCCAAAAAAAATGAGAGAAGGAAGGTTAGATTGACTTTGCTCTACCACCGAAAGCAGGTGCTGGGGTCAAACCTAAGTCTTTCAAATGCTGGACAAACATTCTACCTCTGAACTATGTCCTCATTATCTTTAGATTTGACCCAGAATACTAATCTTCAGGAAACAAAGGCTTCACTAAACTATTTTATTAAGCAGCCACTTATTATAAATTATATTTTAATAAATGCTTTAGTTGTGAACCAAAGGATGTAGACATCGCAGCACTTCTGCACAGTTATAGTTAAGGAAAAACACTGAAAAATAAGGAAATTAAGTTGGACCTATTGACACAAGCCTATAATCTCAGCTACTCTGGAGCTAAGGCAGGGGCCTGTCACAAATTCAAGGTCAGCCTGGGTATAGAGAAGATAAAAAGGCTTTGAAGTCTGAAGTTAATCTAGGTTGTACTTCTTACTGTTTTAACTTTGGTTTTCATTTGTTGTTATTTGAGGCAGGTTCTTATGCAGCCAAGGCTATTGTGAACTCCCAATCAAACCTCTTGCCTCCACCTCTGAATGGTATGATAGGCGTGCTCCACCAAGCTCAGTGTTGCTAGCTTAACTTTGGACAAAGTGTGCTGTAAACTACATTTCTTCAATTCCTAACAAAAAAGAAAGTAAGTGTCTGGGTATGGTGAAATCGCAACACTTGGGAAACTGAGGCAGGAAGACCAAGAGGCCACCTTGTACTTTATGGGACATTGTCTCAGGAGACTAAATAAATAAATAGGAGCCTGAGCATCCTGAGGAATGGACAGGGTAAGAGGGATGTAGTAGAATCACACACACACACACACACACACACACACACACACACTCATGCACATGTCAACAGGAAGGTGCTGTAGTTACTAGTAGTGTTATGAACAGTTGTTTCTACACAATAAATATTTAAAGAACCTTAACTATTTTAGAGAGCTTGGGCTGTATTGGTTAATGACCATTTCTGAATCAAAATGCCCACAAAACTAATTATAAATTACTTAATCTTAAAATGGTTAACAGTTTATCAGAATCAAAGCTAACTAATAAGATTGATTTGATCAGTTAAAAGTCATCAGCATAGGCCCTTGACGACTTCAGTTGCTTCCTTGTGTTTTAAGTTAATCTGTGTATATGTCTGTATGTGTGTTTGTGTGTGTGTGTGTGTGTATGAGAGAGAGAGAGAGAGAGAGAGAGAGAGAGAGAGAAGAGAGGAGGCTTGCTTGAACTTGGGGTCTTAAGCATTCTACCATCTAGTTACATTCCCCAGCCCCCAGCCCAAGTTAATCTCCCTATTGTGATTTGTTAACATTTTAGAGGCAAAGAATAGGCATTAAATAATTGGGAAGCTGAGGATGTAACAGTTAAAACTCATTCATGGTATGCATGTAATTTTCTGGACAGCTGTAGTTGCTAATCATCCCATCTGCTCTCTGTTACAGCCAGGAAGTCATGTCACTACAGTAATAAAAATGGGATTTTTAATCAAAAGATAGGTCCACGAGGTACATCTTAAAATATATAAAAGCCATTCATTTGAGTAGGAAAGCCTGAAATCAAAAGAATCATGGAAACAAATCTAAAGTCATTAATTAAAAGCCTGAAATTATATCCAAATCTTTGATGTGAAATTG